CCCTGGAGTTTCACATAGAATGCTCCCCACCAAACCTGGCAGATAGGAAGTAACTGTCAATAGTATGTAACGCTACTGAATTATCAGCTTTACTTACTTCTTTGATGCCACCTCCTACCACTTTCCCCACATCCACCGAGCACCATCCACACATGCCCAGCTCATTTCCAACGCCCCTCCCCCCAACCCCCAGGGTCTTGTGTTTTCTGGTCCCTTTGAATAACATTATGTTCCTCCCATCAGTGCATGGCTGACTACTCGCCAGCACCCTGTCCCCGGTAGCAGGGCTGAGCCCATTCCATGCAGCGTTCCCTGACTACCCCACATAACAGACACACCGCAGCCCCAGCCCCAGCCCCATCTGTCAAGTTCTGTATAGCCCTGGTGAGCATCTAAACTTACAGCATTCACATATGTACATCTCCTTGTTTATTTTCTGGTTCCCAACGAGAGAGAGAGAGAGAGAGAAGACACACCTTGTCAGTATTATTATTTAATCTCTGACACATAGATGTCCAAAATACAAAAACCGGTGAACACTGGAGTGCTGTTGGTAAAATTAAACTATGTAACAAATAAAACCTACTCGGCACACAGCCAATACTAAATCAATGCTAGGTTCTTGCCCTGGGATGGGTTGGGAGAATGGCTGTTCCAAAGTGAAGGAAAACAATTTGGAAAGAAAGCAAGAACGGAGACAGTGGCCCTAGGCTGGGTGGTTGACTGCCCGAGGTCTAGTTCTCTGCCTGGAAACAGCAGAAGGGGGCAGCCGGGCGAGGGGGAGTGAAGGCGCAGACTCATTCTGCGATGGAAGTTTCAGGAAAGTAGGCGTTTCTTTTTTGAAGGAGGAAGAGGTTTTGTAAATCAGCGGACAGTTGTGATCCTGAGGACATGCCTCTGGATAAATAACTCAGAGCCCTCGTGGATTTTTTAGAAAAAAATAAGGAGGAGGGAAAACCGATCACCACTTCTAGAGAAGGGTGCTTGGTCCAGAGGTTTAGGATTTTCATCTGGAAGAAGGCTTCTTCCAGGGATCAGTTACAGTGAGCAGCGATGGAGGACACAGATACACCTGCGCCCCATCCCGTTTCGGCCCATGTGCAATGGGGTTCCAGGTAAATTGTGTAGGAAGGATTCTGATTTGAAACCCTGATTCTTGTCCACCCTCTGCATTTTCCATGTGGATGAAGGAGGTCCCACACGTTAAACAGAAGAGCTGGGACATGTACCCTGCCCCTGACTGCCAATGGGGTTTCTGCTGCCCCATACTCAAAAGTAATATACTCTAAGCCTAACACCCCTGGGGCTCCAGGGAAAGGGTACTGGGCTCCAGGCTCCTGGTGGTTCATGACACCCAAAAAGGCTTCCGCGAGGAGGCACATACTTAACAACCTCAATCCTGAACCTGTGGATATGCAGCCGCCTGGCCGCCAGGAATGGCTGCATGGTGTGCGCCCTGGGAGTGGCCAGGCTGGCTCCTTCCCCATCCTCTGCTCCTGGGATGACCTTGGCAGAGAGCTGTCATAGCCGCCAGAGGTGCTGACGAACGTGGCTGGCAGACAGAAAGGAAGAATCCCATTACCTAGCCATCCTGGGCTTCCAGCTTTACCTTGAGGGAACCTGATACTAGAGGCAAAATATTCCCAACTTCAAACGTCCAGAGCTTCCGAGGGTGCGTCGGGCTATGGCACTTCATGTGAAGCTCCAGAGAACTGAGGCACAGGCAGACGCTGGCATTTTATTGTGTATTCAAGTCATTTATTCGTTTTAAGACTTAAGATTTCTTGCAGTATATAATGTATATAATAACCATACAGAATGCACCGATGTAAACATATACGTGATTTATTAATGTTTATCAATAAATAGAATTTCTCAATAAAAAAAACACACAAGTCTGTGGGCTTCTGTTTTTTGCAGAACATATTCCTGGGAACTGCATCAAAAAAGTCTATCATCATCAAGGCAGGGGTACTTCCCATGGAAACAAATCCGACTCAAGGATCCCAGTACCTTCCAAGTTTCAGTTTCAAATAAACCATAGGTATAACTTATAATTTCCTAAGACCAAAGATACAGCCATCATTAAAATGTGTGATCATTTGTAATTATTTAATTAAGTCCCATGTTCAATATAGGGAGGGCATTCATGTAATTTACATGTCGATTACAAGGAGACTCAATGCACTGTGACCCATACATGTGGCCTCACTTGTAATTCGACTTTATTAAAAATGTAAACAAAATTAAGGTGCTAGCAAAATAACATTAAATTATAATTAGTAATCATTTACACAGGCTATCAATAGCAAAAATCTCAAAAGATATCTGGTTCTTAAAGGGGGAGGAAATAGGGGATAACTGTAATACTGTCAACAATAAAAAAAAGTTATCTGGTTCAGTATCTCAGCAGATTCTTCATGTAACATAATTGTCAGATGCTCATTCACAGTCTGGTCCATGTTTGAGGGTTTTTGGGTTTTTTTTTCACAGAATTTATATATATAATTTTAATGACCCTTTTCCTCCAAATAAATGTTTTCAAGGCAAAGACCTTTGAATTTATTCCATGTGACTTTGAAGTTACTTAAAGTTAGGCCTAGTCTTACCAAATTAGCCCCCATCTCTCTCCAACCATTCCTTTATTTTCAGAACAACAAAATCCCAATAAATACAGGGTTTGTGATGTATAAACCTGCAATGTTGTGTGGATTGCAAAACCTGGAGTAACCTTATGAGGAAGGGTGGCTTTGGAAGAATGGACCCCCAAAAGGAGCTCCCTTGGCATTGTTTATCAATACAGAGGGCTCATTCTCTAAATCGGTTCATCTCTTGGTGAAGAAATTCTGAGTCCTGGGGAGCACAGGGGCATCCAAAGTAATAATCAACATACAGACTGGCATTTTATGATTCGCAGAATGTTTTCACAAACATTGTTTGTCGCCACAACAACTTTGTGATGTAGGCAGGAGAGAGTCTCTCCGAGTCCAGAGAGGTCCGGCTCTTAGTTCAGGGACACACGGGAAGTCAGCCACTGACTCAGGTGCGTGTGCTCCGGGAGGCGGTGGGCAGCGAGGTGGTGTCAGAGCAGACAGCTGGGGTCTGACGGCCAGGTTCTGGGCCCTGGGGCTCAGAACCTTACTGTTCCCTCCTTTGTGTTAGAAAACGACCATCCTCGAAACGGTCCTGAGTCCCAAATCTAGTAAAGGCAGATGACAGTGACTTGAAAAAGCAAAGGATGTTGTCTAGCCAGTCCAGGTGCAAGGTAGGACTGAATAAACTTTCTTCACGTGTGATGAGAATAGATTCCCAACCGAATCTGCTCCATGGACCAGCGAGAGGCCCAGCCTCCCATGCAGCATCTCAGCATGGGGCAGCATTTCGCCACAACACTCCGGAGTTCCAAAGGACACTTCTCGTGAGAGGTTTTCCCCTTCCCTAAGGCATGACTTTCTCCCCAGTAAAATGAAGTCTTCACAGGAGAGATTTCTTTTTTTTTTTTTTTTTCCGCATTTGGATGGTTTGGGGGCAATTTCCTCTTCCTCATTCCAAAGTCTTTCCTGTCTGGTTCAATTCCAGGACTAAAGTAAAAAATCAACAGGAATGGTAACTGACTCTTCTTAAGCAGCGGGAACAAAGTGAGTGTGACAAAGTCCTGAGATGCTATCAAATCACAGCCAAGATCAACGTTAAAACACCCCATGGCTCTGGGGCCTGATGGCGTTTACATCTTTGTGACATTCACTCCTAGGCAGTTCACTCCATGGATGGCTTGGAATGAAAGACATTCAGGTGAATCTGAAGGGCAAAGCTGCAAGGTCAAGGGGCTAGAAGACCCAAAGCTAGTTCCTTTGAAACAGACAAAAGGCCTGCCGGTCATGGCTTTTGGAGGTAGCAGATGACTATAGCTGCATCCTGTTGTCCTAGAAACGGAGAGGAATCTTAGAGATCCCCTAGTCCAAGATTCAACTGACAGACGTGGAAAGTGATGGAGGGTTGGATCAAGATCTCACAGCCTATTAGGAGCAGAACCTGGGCTGGAATCCAGGTCCTCAGACTTCAAGTCAAGCACTGTTTCTGCGCCCCTGGCACTGCTTGGTCCTGCCTCCTCCACAGGGGACGGCAGTTTGTGACAGGTCTCAGCAGTATGAGCTCCCAACAGTCTCCCCTTTGAAAGCAACACGGCCAGAATCCAGGGTTACAAATTGCTGTCCTGGGCCTCACCACAAGCTCCCAGGAAATATTCCAAAGTCTTTTAATAAAGACTACGATGCCGGGGCCCTGCCCAAGGCCCCTTAGGACAAGATGCTGCTCTAGCTGTAGAGCAAGGCGGGCATCTCGAAGCAGAAGGGGCTGAGGCCACGGCTCCGGGGCAAGCTGTCTGTCTTCAGCTTCCCTCCAAGGTTGCTGCGGAGACTGTGTTCTTCGGGTCGATCTCTGCCCCAGTTTCTTCCAAGGGAAATAAATGGAGCATGTCCTGGAGAGAAGGACTGACACGAGACATAAGGAAGAGCAGATGAAGTCTGCGACTGACACGGGGACTGGCCGGGAGGCCACACATTCGGACCCAGAGCCCGGGAGGAAAGTGTGGTAGTGTCTGGCACAGAACAGGGTGAGATGAGACAGTGAGTAGTTTGAACAATCGAGCATTGTGTGCTTTTGAACACCAACGACTCTGACCGACAGGCACGAGGGGGAGGGGGAGGGAGAGTTGTGACAACATTGGTCTGTGAGCAGGCAGAGCCAAGAAGGCATATTTAGCGACACCTATGGCTGAGATAGGACACAGTGAGCGATCGTGTCTGGAACATGAGTGGGACCGACCAGGCACAGTAAAGGGACAGACTGGCGACAAGAGACACTGTGCAGCAAGGGCGAATGCCAGGAAGGAGTTGGGAAATGAAAAATCCCTTCATAGGGGAATCTCTGGAGGAGGACCCCCAGTGAACGGGGGGGGGGGGGGGGGGGGGGGGGGGCATCCTCTCCTCTGACTCCCACCAACGCTGCCTGCTGGAATCCCGGAGGGAAAGCCCGGTGGGCACGGGGTGCCTGCCCCGACGGACGGACAGATGGAACGCTCGGATGAAGAGAACACCAGGCGCAGTCACGCACGAGCAGCAGCTTAGGACCTGGCCCTGCTCGGAGGGATGGCTGTCTTCTGAGTCACTGCCCAGGGACTAAGTGTCACTGGGCTGAGCAGCCATCAAAGGAGAAGTTGCTGGGGGGAGGCATTGACTCTCCCATTGGACACCACATTCCACTGCGTCCCTGGAGAGGGGAGAAGACCACAGAACCTCGGAGTTGGAATGGACGCCACAGAGGACCTCGGGAAAGGGCCCCCTCCCCCAGTGCAGGAAACCCCCGCGCCGCGCAGACGCGTGGTTGGTCAGCCCCTAAGGAGGAATCCCCAGTGCCTGGCCAGGACACATTATTTTTGAGCAACTTTAGTGAAAGAGCCTGTTGGTGTTATTAGCCCAAATCTGTCTTCCTAGTGGAACTACCATGCCCGCCAGGCCCACTTAAAATTCTTCCCTCTACTAATTATATCCTCCAAGTTTTCTCTCTCCAGGCTACACATTTCTCTAATGGTTCATCATATATTTTGGTTTCCAGAACAGTCCCGAGGATGAACACTGTCCTCTGAACACAACCCGTATTTTATGATTATCTCTCTTGAAACAAGGTGCCAGGAAAGAGCACAGATGGACACAGTGAGCAGGACACACCATGCACTTTCCATCTTCGGTTTAGTTAACTTCCATGACTGTGGCTGGCAGTAAGTTCATTTCTGACTACGGCAATATGCTCTTGGCTTATATTGATTTTATTGCCAATTTGCATGTTTTTGATACAAACAGTTGTCCATTCCAGTGGTTCTTTATTACATGGGAGCAGTTTATGTAGTTTGTTTGAGCCACCATATAGGACATTACATGTGTCTCCGTTAAATGTCATGTTATCGATCTGGTATCCTTTTAGCTGACTGAGATCATTCTAAATCATAACAATTTCAACATTCAAGATGTGATTATTTACCACCAACTCAAACTAGACTTTGAGGACTTAACAAGCACATAGGACGGTCAGATAATTTATTGCTGCCTAGATCTTTCAGTTTAGTGTCATCTGCCTTTTACATCAAGATAAAACAACTATTGATCAGGACAGGGCAAACACAGAGTCGCGGTGCGCTATGACAGGCTGAGACTGGGCCCGCCCATGCAAGGCTTTGTCCAATGCCTGGCTAAAGCATCTCTAATGCCAAGCAGTAAATAAACCTGTCCTAATAGAGAATGAAATTACTAGTAGTTGGCATGATTTATTTTTAATGAAATAACACTGACTCTTGCTCACAAATGGTTTGTGTTGTAATTGTTCTAGAATTTTGGTAAGGTCTGTTTCAAGCGAAGAGCCCGCAGTTTCCTGAGTCCAGCTTTTAGTATGCCTTTAACAACTTGGTCAATATTTACTGGTCTCCAGGCTGTCCTCATTTTCCCAGTCCTCAAAAGAGCACCAGCCAGAGGTCTGATCCACCGCTCCCTTTAATCCCCTGAGATATAATACGATTTGGCTCAGAAACAGTTAAATGTTTCCCACCAATCCTGGACAGCAACTTTCTCCTCATAATGTTCTCTCGCATCCAGTTGGGAGACTATTCTTATTGTAGCAGGATATGTAAGATTTCTTCCCTAAATAATGAGATCTAACTTGTTCTGGGTTGGCTACTTGCTCAGAACATAGCTTTTGATTCATCCTTGGTTACACATTTCCTCTTCCAGATTTTCCACGTGCCATTTTCCAGTATACATTCACTAGATCAGTGGTTCTCAACCTTCTGGTCCTTTAAATACAGTTCCTCATGTTGTGACCCAACCATAAAATTATTTTCGTTGCTACTTCATAACTGTAATGTTTCTACTGTTATGAATCATAATGTAAATATCTGGTATGCAGGATGGTCTTAGGCGACCCCTGTGAAAGGGCCATTCGACCGCCAAAGGGGTCGCAACCCACAGGTTGAGAACCACTGCACTAGACAGATACTCAAGATGAGGCCTCATGTCTTTACATAACCCCCCTACACACATATACACACACACACACACGCACACCATTTTTATCTGTCTCATTCACTGAAAATATCCATTAAAAGGAAAACAAAGGATGAATAGAAAGGAAGCAATGAAGGAAGGGTTTCTATTTCTCATTGGCCCAAAATACTTATTTATCATCATCATTATCAACATTAAAACTCCCTCCCATTAGTGCAGTACCTGTGTGTTACGCATTAATTCATGTATTTTATGCCTCTTTAACAGATAAAGAAACTGAGTTTCAGAGTTTAAATAATTTTCCCAAGTTTACTCAATTAATAAATGGCAGGATCTGACCTTATATTTACGTCATTTTTTTATACCAAAGTCTGCTTTTAATTGTCCTGATATATTGTCACTTGTCACCTTGAGAATTACCACTGCTATGTCCAGGGCTCAGGTGCTGCTGTCTCTAACATTTTCTTGTCCCATGATGATGAACTTTAGGGTAAAAGAAACATGTACAGGGCACGTATTTTATCTATTCCACCTGTGGGAAGCCTACAGTGTGATATGCCCCCCTTTTCACTGAAACACAGTGTGACTGAGACGTTAACACAGCGCCCTCCTGCTAACACCCCTGCCCACTAATGCAGGAACTTCGCCAAGTGGCATGTATGTTTCCTGTGATGCAGTACTGGGGAGGCTAGGCGAACGGAAAACCAACCCTGCAGAGGCAGAAGGAAATGAGGGAGGACAGAGTCAGAGGAAAAAACCCAGGTTAATAAACATAGCAAAGACAGGGGAGCGAGGATGGAGGACAAGGCAGGAAGAGCCACAGAGCTGGGTGTACAGAAGGCTCCAGAGCTGTATGGAGGATGGAGGAGGTCCTTTGAGAAGTGTTTCCAAAAGGTTATACTAGCTGTCTCATGTCATCTTGGCAGAGATTAAATAAAGGTAGACACAGACAATAGTATGGTCATTACCAGAGGAAAGAGGGTTGGGGGCAAGTAGAAGAAGGTAAAGGTGGGGGATAAATGGTGACGGAAGGAGACTTGACTTTGGGCAGTGAACATACACTACAATACACAGATGATGTATTATAGAATTATACACCTGAAATCTATATAATTTTATTAACCAATGTCACCCTAATAAGTTATGTAATTTTAAAAAAAGTTTATGCATGATAAATAAGAAAAATAAATATAACAAAGGCTTTAAAATAGCTACAAAAAAGAAAAGACTGATATTACTGTGGACTTGCTAATGGGAGCCTGGTGTCACTTCTTTTTATTCAGGATACATCAATTTAGCCTTTGCCAAAGAGAGGAGTCATGGAAAAAGAAGGACAATGGCCCAGCCTCTAACGGAGAACTCACAACCAACTCCCTCTGGACAGGGCAAATGGGGACTTGAGAACAATGACTCTGTGATCTTGGGTCCTGGTTGTCCTGTGTCATTCTCACCTTACCCTAATGTACCAATCTAATTGATAACACAACAGTTTAATGCCATCTGCCTTTTACATCTGCACTCAAGATACAAAATTATGGCCCAATATGCTGCACGCCAAGAGACCAACTTCCAGCACAACAGATCACACTCAGTGCATGTGACTTTAACACTAAGTGAACCCCTTTCACTTTCAACTGCAAGGTCACCCTACTAGCTCAGCCAAGGAAGCAGCTGGGTGCAGCAGTGTGAGCAGTGAACGGGAGACGGGAACCTAACGCCTTGCTAGCCTCCCCCCATGGGCGACTCTGATGACTTAGTCCCTTCCCAAGTGCCTCCCTTGCTCATTTTTTAAATGAGGAGGAGGATTATCTATAAGATCCTTTGCAGCTCCGGCATTCTGATTGTGTGAGTAGCAGAGATGGTGGGTGACAGATACAAACCTTCTGATGGGGCACCAGCTGTGTGTGGGACTGTTCTCCAAAGCTGTGGGTAATTGCTTCAAATTTGGCTTTTAATTTTCTATTGTTAGTATCTGATACTTTCTATTCCGTGTTGGAGGGAAAAAGTTTCACTGGAAACACAAGGGGGTGTGATTTTTGGATTTGTATTAAAGGATATGAAAGGCCTCCATTTCTGAATCTGTGAAATTACCCTGCAAAGCTGTTAAGTGTATCTGGGTAGGAGAGGATAGGGGCTGAGATGCCACAACTTAAAATGCAGCGAGATCACAACTGTCTCTCCTCAAACATATGCTTGATCAGAAACATTGGCAGAGTCGCTAAAAATCCCTGATGCAAAACATCATTACACACTTCTAGGAATATATCCTAAGAAGCCTGAAACACAATCAGAAAGAATCTATGCACCTCTATATTCATCGTGGCATTATTTATAATAGTCAAGACTGTAAACAGCCCAAGTGCCCATCAATAGATAATGGATAAAATACCTGTGGTACATTTACATAATGGAATACCATGCAGCTATATAAAAGAAGGATCTTTTACCCTTTGAGACAGCCTGGAGGGACCTGGAGAGTACTATGCTAAGTGAAATAAGCCAGTCATAAAAGGTTAAGTATCACATGATCTCACTTATATGTGGAATCTAAGTAACAAATAAACTGACAAACAAAATAGACATTGATGCATACAACACACTGACATATTTCAGAGGGAAGGGCGGGACAGGAAGAGTTTAAACAAAGAACTTATATGCATATATGCATAAACCATGGACACAGACAATAGTGTGGTGAAGGCCTAGGGAGGGGCAGGGTGGGGTGGAGGGGGTAAATGGGACATCTGTAATACTTTCAATGATAAAGATAAAATTTAAAAACATCATTAAAAAGAATCTCCAATATTTTAACAGAAGTATTTTTAAGTACAGTTCTTGTTTTCATAGTTTTGTAAAAATCCTCTACAATTTATGAAGTATTTTTATACCTTTTCCCATATTTAATCTTCAACACAAATCTGCAAGGGAAGGAGGATACAGAGTATTTTAATTTAGAAGAGGAAGTAGGTCAATGTATGTGGCCTGGATTGAATGATAGGGAGTGATGGCTCCATTGCTATAAATCAGGCATTCTGCCTCCCGAACCTGGAATTCTGTCCATTAGGAAATCATTTTGGGGGTGGGAAGAATTTTGTGATGAAGTTTAATAGTTGATGAAATCAACTTATTACTTGTGTTCCAGAAGAAGAAGAAGGAGAAGGAGGAGGAGTTGGAGGGAAAGAATCACCAGCTAAGTAATCTTTCACAAAGGGGTCC